CATACCGGCATGTTTTGCCTTCTTGCGCTTCACCGCGGCACCAATCGTCTCCAGCAGCTGCCTCTCCTTGCTCATCCATCCCTCTTCTCCTCCACTGAACCTGCCGTTAAGGCCTTTCCGCCTGTCCAGCTCAATCTGTCGCACGGCATCGAAAGCCTCGTCGTCCATCGGCTCGCCACCGTGGTCTTTTCGCAGCAAATCCCGGAGCGAGACCTCCGTCTCACCATGGAGGCACACCTTTAGATTCCCATCGCTCGTAATGCGCAAACGATTGCAGGTCCCGCAGAAGTTGTGCGTCATGCTTGTAATGAAACCCACCCTTCCTACGAAACCAGGCACCTGCCATGTCTTGCTTGTGTCATTCCGCTTATCTCGTAACCTTGCAACCCCGGGAAACTTTTCTCGGATTCGCTCCAACATTTCGGCATAAGGCAGCATCTTGTTCTCACTCCACTTGTTGCCGCCGAAGGGCATGTACTCGATGAACCTGACCTCAACATCCTGCTCCCGTGTCATTTCGACGAAGGGTAGGATCTGATGGTCGTTCAGGCCGCGCATCATAACGCAATTGATCTTCAACTTCACGCCCGCTCCAAGCCGATTCATCTCTTGTACGCGGTTGATGCTTTTCATTACCGCATCAAAGCCTTGGCGGCGCGTGAGGATCTGAAACTGGAAGGGATCGAGGGTATCGAGCGAAATATTGACGCCCGTCAAGCCGGCCTCGACCATGGCGTCCAATTTTCTCCATAGCGATATGCCATTGGTGGTGAGTGCCAGCTCCTTCAACCCTGCGCTTCTCAACCCGCCTATTCGGCGCATCAGCTCCAAGATGTCTTTCCGCACCGTCGGCTCGCCCCCTGTCAAGCGAATCTTGTTCACGCCTTGGCTGACGAAGAGCTGGCAGAGGTAGATGATCTCCGGCGTAGTGAGCTGGGTTGCGGGCGGGGAGAGTGCAATGCCTTCCTCGGGCATGCAGTACAGGCAGCGGAGGTTGCAGCGCTCGGTGAGAGAGATGCGGAGGTAGTCATGCTCTCGGGCATGGGTGTCGGTCAGGAAGGAGGAGAAGGGCTTGGCGTCGCGGATGGTGTCGACCCGCGAGGAAGCCGGGGTGGGGATCAGAGGTGGGGATATGTAGGCGGTAGACGGGTCGTGGTACTCGACTGCTGCTGTAGCTGTCGCCACGGTTCGTCTCGGCGGTGCTGTTGCTGCCCACCTTGCCCGCTTCAGTGCGCGCGGCAGGCTGCGGGTGACTGTATTTGTCGCCATTGCTGGCTAGAAGATCATCTACACGGTGAAATAAAAGGCATTGTACAGGACGAACATGTAAAGGCAATCCAGGAGAAAGCAAGGGAACTTATGGACCGGTATCGTCTTGAAGATTATTGCTGACGGGCAATGATATGGATGTCGGCCAACCCGGGGTTTCCTTCTCCTTTAGGAAGCAGCTGCAACGAGTCCATTCGTGCCTCAGGCTCACAGAAGTGGCATTGGATTGCCAGGTGGCATATGCACAAATTGAAAGGGTTTCAGGACGAGCCACATCGCCATTTCTTTCGCCCCGATATAAGAGACGCTGCAGAGCCTGGAGCAACGCATTCCGGTCCTCTTCATCTTATTACTGTCATGGAACATCGATTTGCTTGAACCCTTTGGCGCCCTTCAACGAAGCACACGATCTACTCGATCTACTCGAGTCCTTGGACGACACACACAATGCTTCCCCCAGGCAGACGGCGCGGCAGTGTCCTAGCACCTGGTGTTATCCTACTTGGTCTCTTCCTACTCTTCGCCTCCACTGCCTCAGCAGCCGGCTCCGTCCTCGGACTCGACTTCGGGACCCTCAATATCAAAGCCGCGCTCGTAAAGCCCGGAATACCACTTGAGATCGTCTTGACAAAGGACTCGAAACGGAAGGAAACCGCTGCATTAGCCTTCAAGCCCAATCGGGACAGTCAGAACCAGATCCTCGCCGAGAATGGCACTTTTCCGGAGCGAGCCTACGGCGGAGATGCACTGGCATTGCAGGGCAGGATGCCTGGCGAGGTCTTCCCGAACCTAAAGTCACTCCTGGGATTGCCAGCGGACGGCTCGAGTGAGATGATGAAGACCTATAACACCAGGTATCCGGCCGTTATGATCGGGCAGATGGAGGAGATTGGTATGGTGATGGCGAAGAGCCACGCTTTTGTGAATGAGGAGCCGCCTTGGTCGGTGCAGGAGCTCTTGGCTATGGAGCTTGCGAACGTGAAGAGGAACGCGGAGACGATGGCGGGGAAGGGCATGAGTGTGGAGGATGCTGTTGTAACCGTTCCGGCGTTCTACACTGCGGACGAGAGACGAGCGATCCTGCTGGCAGCGGAGCTCGCAGGGCTTAATGTCAATGCTATGATCACGGATGGTCTTGCAGTTGGGTTGGACTACGCGAAGAGCCGCACCTTCCCAGAGGTGACCAAGGGTGAGAAGCCGGAGTACCACATCGTGTACGACATGGGTGCAGGATCAACGACAGCGACGCTGTTGCGTTTCCAGGGCAAGAGCGTCAAGGATGTTGGTCGTTACAACAAGACGGTGCAAGAAGTGGCTGTGCTAGGTACGGGCTGGGACCGAACGCTGGGCGGTGATAGCTTTAACGATGTGATAGTCACCGATTACGTGCACAAGTTCCTCACGAAGCCCGTGATGAAGAGTCGGGGCACTGAAATGGATGAGATCAGACACGACGGCAGGATTATGTCAAGATTGTGGAAGGACGCCGAGAAAGCGAGACAGGTACTCTCGGCCAACACCGAGACGACCAGCTCTTTCGAGGAGCTGATGCCTGATATCGACTTCCGAGTCAAGCTTACTCGTACGGATTTCGAAGGCATGACGACTGCATTTGCCGACCGCGTGGCATCGCCCATCAAAGATGCGTTGGCTGCTGCGAAGTTGGGGATGACGGACATTGACAGCATCATTCTCTTTGGTGGTGCAGTACGCACGCCATTCGTGCAGAAGAAGCTGGAGGAGATCGTTGGCGACAGCAAGAAGCTTCGAACCAACGTCAACGCGGACGAATCTGCAGTCTTCGGCGCAGCATTCAAAGCTGCTGGGTTGAGCCCAAGCTTCAAAGTCAAAGAGATCCGTGATTCTGATATCGCTGGGTACGGAGCTGGGTTCGTACTCCAAGATGGCGAGAAAGAGAGGCGGCAGCAGCTATTCGCTGCCACCTCACCCGTCGGTAGTGGTGCAACAACGAAGCAGGTGTCGTTCAAGGAAAGGGAAGACTTTGTCATCGGCATCTATCAGCATGTTGATGGAATTGACAGGCCGGTCGGGCGTATGCAGACGGCGAATCTTACGGCGAGCATCAGAGAGCTCAACACGAAATTTGGCTGCGTCGCTGAAGCCATCTCGACTAAATTCAGCATGAAGTTGAGTTCGGTTCACGGATTGCCGGAGGTGCTGAGCGGCACCGTCAGCTGTGAAGTGGAAGGGTCTGTAAAGAGCGGATCTGTCATGGATACGGCGAAAGACTGGCTCGGACTCGGCAAAAAGGATCAGGAGCCGCTTGTCAATGAAGATGATGGGCCAATCGAAGAGGTGGAGGTGACGACCTCCTCTGCCTCGAAGTCCGCAAGTAGCTCTTCGAGCGGTTCGTCGACGAGTAGTTCAAAGACCCCGGAGAAGCCGAAGAAGAGGATAGAAAGTATTTCCATCGCTTTCACTACAGCCCCACGAGGCAACCCTCAGCCAGGGCCGGAGGAGTTGAAGCGAATGCGCGACCGTCTTGCCGCATTCGACCGTTCTGATCATGCGCGCATGTCTCGCGAAGAAGCGCTCAACGTGCTGGAGAGCTACACTTACCAAGTCCGCGACTTCCTGGGCAACAGCGACTACTCGAAGTCAGCAACGGACGCGATGCGTGAGGAGATCAGCAAGCTCCTCGAGACCACACGATCATTCATGGAGAGCTCGAGCGACGTTGCGAAAGCAACAGAGGAGACCCTCCGGCAAAAGCTCAACGGGCTGCGGAAACTCGTCGAACCCGTGAAAGCGAGAAGATCCGAGGATATCGCAAGGCCGGAGAAGGTGGCCGCGCTGCGGGAGAGCCTGGACCAGACGGAGAAGTTCGTGCAGATGGTGCGGGAGCAAGTCGATAAGGCTGCCACAGCGTCCAGTAAAGCCAGCATCCTGGAAGCCAGCAAATCCGCTGAAGCTGCCGCGAAGAGCGCGGCAGAAGAGAGTGCCGCGCCCTCAGCAGCAAGTGATGACTTTGACGACCTCGAAGAACCCGATACAGCGAGCATCTCGTCCACGACCTCCAAAGGCCCAAAGTACTCCGACCCAGCGGACTTCTCGCCCTACTCCTCCGCAGACCTCGAGGACCTCGAGTCCGTGTACGAAAAGGCCCGCGCCTGGCTCACCGAGAAGGAAGCTGCGCAGGGTAAACTCCAGTCGCACGAGGAACCCGTGCTACTAGTCAAAGACATCGAAGCCCAAGCCAGCAAACTAAGCACCGTGATGACGGATTTAGTCTACAAGAAAATGCGGCAGCAGCAGTCCCAGAGCAAGAGCAGCAGTAGCAGTACCAAGAAGTCCAGCTCAGCCAAGACGAGCAAGACGAGCAAGACGAAGAGTGGGAAGAAATCCGCCAAGACGAGTGCTACGGCTACTACGGAGGAGGAGGGTGCGGAGGCCAGCGCGTCGAGCACGAAGAGCGGGAGGCCGGCGGTCGTCACTATCAACTCCGGGGACGAGATGCCCAGTGAAGAGGAGATTATGCGGATGGTTCGGGAGGCGAAGGAGGGTGGGGCGGAGACGAAAGGGAAGAGGAAGCACGATGAGTTATAGAGATTGCGTGTAGCGTTTCATAGATCTGGGAGCTTTGATGCTGCTGCTGCTGGTACACCTTGTCGTCTCGATTTCATTGAGCTTATGGGCCCCACCGTCGGCGGTTCCTCCCCGGGAAAATTTGTTTCTATACTCAAGCTCTTACAAATGGAGTTGTGATAATCGCCCGCATAGTTTAACGGTCAGAACATAGGTCTCATATAACTTGACTAAGTCATGAGACTTGGATATCCTAAGATCTGAGTTCGAGTAAGGCTTCACTGCTTGCCCTCGCTCTCAATGCATTACGGAGTGTTAACACTTCGCTAGTTCTCAGTGCAGGCATTGCTTAACGCAGCCCATGGTTTTTGCCTTTTTGGCTGTCTGTCTTATTACCTATATGTACTTAGGTACTATCGCTTGTATTGAATGAGGAGCACATGTGGCTGAACTTATGGGAGCATGTACTCTGCGTGGTATTTTGGAGATTTTTGGTGGGCTTGGCGCACAGGTTGGTGAATGGACACGCTCTGAAGCACCATACCCTCTATCGCTGCCCACCAGCGCCTTGACGCCTCGCTAAGCCCTCAAGTCGTCCTGAACATATATCCCACTGTACAGCCATAAACTCATACCCCATCAACATCATCATCCCATCACTGCCCCTTCCTCCTCGCCTCCTTCAGCGCCTGCATCCGATCCATCCGATCCCCCTCGGCCAACCACTGGCTCGCCTTAACCAACTGCAGCACATTAATCCACTGCTTCACAAACATGACCGGCGCGCTGCCCAGCGTCAGGATCCATGGCACCATGCTGTCCATTTTGTTCGCGCGCGCCATCTCCATCGCGCCCGCGCTGAAGGGACTCGGGAAGAGGAGGGAGGGGGCCGGTTGGTGGGGCGTCACGGGGGAGGTGGCCTGGTGCGCCGCGAGGCCTGCGGTGGGTAGGAGGGCGGGCGTGATCAGGGGGCTGCTGAAGCAGAGGAGGTAGAGGGCTATGAAGAAGAGTTCGTTGAGGGCGCAGAAGGTGAAGAGGACGGTCTGCGTGGCACCCGGATCAGCGCAAGAAGGGGAGAGCCAGTGGTTGTGGGTGAGAGAGAGGGAAATTTGCCTACCTTGTTCGTGTAGTACTTATTCATTATCCAACTCCGCTCCGCAGAGACATTCTTATGGCTCTCCCCCTTGCCCCCCATCGACAGCGTGGCATACATATGCATATAATGGCTCGCGAGGTCCAGACTGATGAGACCCTGGAAAATCATGCTGTAGGCCGGTTTGGCGGTGGAGAGGAAGACGAGCAGGCACGTGGTCGTGCAGCGGTCCGTCACCATGTCGAGCACGGCGCCGAATTTGGTCGATTGCTGGAATTGCCGCGCCGCGATGCCGTCGAGGGCGTCCATGAGGCAGGAGATGGAGTAGAGGAAGGAGCAGCGGCGGGGGTGCAGGGGCATGAAGTAGAGGGAGGCGATGCAGAGGATTATGCGGGCGTAGCCTGAGGTGGTGGTTAGCGGGGAGGGAGGTAGGAGGTGGGTGGAGTGGTGAAGTGGTGGATATACCGATCAGGTTGGGAACGAAGAGGAAAATGTTCTCGTCTGTCTGCTCTTTGCTCGTGTCTTCGACTGGTGCCGGCGCTCGAGGCACGCCGTTCGCTGGTCTACCGTTCGGTTGTGATGTGCCCGCTACCCGGCCACCATTGTCTTTCCGTCGTGGAGGACTCATGTCGTGTGCTATGCTCGTGGTCGCTTCCTTGCCGTCCTCTTGCTGGAGCTTTCCAGTCTGGTGAAGCTGTTGCCAACGCTCCGATCGGTGCCGGTATCTCTCGCACTCACTGCCACACTACACTTCATATACACAGGCCAAGTGCCCGCAAGCTGGTCGCCGAGAATACGCTTTGGTGTTGCCTAGGTAGTGTCCTGCCGCCTTCTTGCCCTCTTTCACTCAAGTGCTCGGCGTTTGACGAAATGGAGGATGTGGTCCTAGAAATCGATTCTCACCTGATGTCGAACAGTCTTGTCGTGTACTGCGGAAAAGACGGGCGGCGATTACTTGTTATATGCACTTCTTGCGCAGACTGTATTTTGGAGTCAATCGCACGTTGGAGCATTCTTGCCCGCGCGCTGCCGAACGACCTTGATGCCTCCAGGTTTGCTGCCAAGGACTTCACGATGTCGCAACCGCCGCGGCTCGCACATCCAGAACATAATTGATGTTCTCAGTCTCAATCCCCTGGGAGTCTGGAAATTACATGTAGACAGCTACGAGCAGGCAGTATGTTGCATTGATACCAGTATGAACGTTGTAAGGAAGCGACAAGGTTTTGCAACTGCATCTATCTAAACCCCGGGCAGTTCATAGCGAACGAAATGGTTGCTAAAGTCTCAACACTGCGTAACGATGCACCCTTCATTACCAGCCACGGGCGTGAACCGACAAACTCCAGGCCTCATCGCCTTCACAGCGCTCCAACTCCCCCCTCCTACATCACAAAGTCCTCTCCCGCAATCGCATCCGCAAGCCCCGAGTTCTCACCATGCATAATCTTGAACAAAGGATCCCAGACCGTAGCAGCACGCTTCGTGTGCTTCCCATTCATCAACGGCGGATCCGCGAAAGGAAGCTGTTTGTCGACTGAGCATTCGATGCCTTGCCCTGTCAGGCTCTCGTCGTCGAGGAGACGGATGTAGGCGGAGACGATGGTGGAGACGGGTGTGATGCTATTTATGTGAGTATTGTCAGAGAAATGTCGTGGGTTGAGGCAAGGGACGCCAAGATTGGATAGCAGCGTGTGAAAGGGTTGATGGACGTACTCTGATGGGTCTACGGCGGCGATCATTTGTCTTGGTACTATGGCTGTGTCGACGATGCCAGGCATTACGCCTACAAGGTACAGGGAGCAATGTCAGCGCTGGCTCGCCTTTGAACGAGATTTAGTCGTATCGAGCAACGCACAGTTGATACGTATGTTCTCCTTCACCTTCAGCACCCCAGCTGAACCTCGTACGAAATTCAGCACAGCAGCTTTCGTCCCATTGTACTCCGCGTACGACGGATGTGGATGCATAGCGACTATACTCGCCGTCGCCACAATCACACCTCCAGGCGTTGGGTTCTTCCGCATAAAGTGAATGGCCAATTGCGTGCCATACAACACGCCCTTCCAGTCGACATCCGTACACTTCAGGTCCGGAGCCGGCGGGATCTCGTCTTTGTTTCGATGGCTGAGAATGTAAATCGAGCCGCGATCGCCTATACCTGCGTTGGCACAGAGCGCATCGATGCGGCCGTGGGAGTGGAAGACGGCGGCGAAGGTCTTGGCTTGGGCGTCGTAAGATGCAACGTCTGTTTCATAAAATTTTGCTTTCAAGCCGAATTCTTCTGTTAAGGCTTTGGATTCGCGGAGGTCCGCCATGGCTACGAACCAGCCAAGGTTGATGAGCTCGCGGGTCAGGGCTTCGCCTATGCCGGACTGTTGGCCTCGTGAGTCTGCGGAAGTCGTACATCTCCTGGATCTGAACGTACCGAAGCTCCGGTCACGATGGCCACTCGCGAATCAGTTGGGGAGCTCATCGTGAGATATTTCTATCAGACGTAGCTCAGATATCGCTGCAGAGGCGAACGGTGAGTTGTGAACAACGGAGATCTTGACCGCGTCTATACCTCCTCCTGAATCCTGAAAGCCACGCAACGCACTCGGGGCATACCTGTAGCCGTACTCACGTACAGCGTTACCCACTGTACTCTTTACTCCGCACACTCAGCTGTGCGAGCTTCGGTTTCGGGTACTATTAGCCGAACGTCACTGAGAGTGATTGTCCATCATGTGGCATTTCCGGGAATTTCGGTTTCTGGACACAGGGGGAAGACCGAGATGCTGACATGTACGGTAGGACGTGAGTCTTCGCCCTGATGAATCGCGCAGTAACTCAATGACGGTCGACCGGGCTACATCCTGCTGCGGTGTAGCCAAGACCGCGCTGGTATCGCAGGACCAGGGTGAGGGATTGCACGGCTTTCACTGGTACCGCTGACACGAGGTTGACCATTGTGCTGTATGCTCGTAATGTAGACGCACTGATACATAGTCCAGTGAGGTCTTTAGGTCTCAGTTCGGCTTGATGCCTGAGGCAAGAGAGGGTTCTCGCCGAGCACCGACTTCCGGGCTTTGCCAAGGCCGAAGCGCACCATTATCGATTCATCACCAGCCGACCACACATCCTCTTCCCCAGGCGCACACTGATTCACCACTTCACCACCGCACAAAACACACACCCTACCCGGTCGCGAACATGTCTGACGGCGAGGTCGAAGTTGAGGCACCCCAGGGCTACCCAGTCCTGCCCAAGGACGTCGTCGCGGAGATTGGCAGCACGAAGCTCTTCAACAAGTGGAGCTACGAGGATGTCGAGATCCGGGACATCTCCCTCACGTACGTCCACCACAGTATGGAGGAAGGGGACGAGGATGAGGCCGATTAGAATGTTACGAAAGACTGGGGAGAACGGCGGCAACGGAAGGCTAACCAGACGGTGACACAGCGACTACATTCAGATCCGCCAACCTGTATACATGCCTCACTCCGCCGGCCGGTACGCCGTAAAGCGCTTCCGCAAGGCACAATGCCCCATCATCGAGCGCCTTACCAACTCGCTCATGATGAACGGCCGAAACAACGGAAAGAAGCTCATGGCCGTGCGCATCGTAGCACACTCCTTTGAGATCGTGCGTCCCGCCTACCCCACCCACAAACTACCACCCGAAACCACACTAACCAAAGCGATCCACAGGTCCACATCATGACCGACCAGAACCCCATCCAAATCGCCGTCGACGCCATCGTCAACTGCGGCCCCCGCGAAGACTCCACCCGTATCGGCAGCGCAGGCACCGTGCGCCGCCAAGCCGTCGACGTCTCACCACTGCGCCGGGTGAACCAGGCCATCGCCCTCCTCACCATCGGCGCAAGAGAAGCGGCGTTCAGGAACATCAAGAGTGTGGCCGAGTGCTTGGCGGAGGAGCTGATCAACGCTGCCAAGGGGAGCAGCAACAGCTACGCCATCAAGAAGAAGGACGAGCTGGAGCGGGTGGCCAAGTCTAACCGGTAGACGGAGGGCGAGTTCGTTGGTGGATGGAGTTGCATTGCGGCAGTGGGTGGGACGCCGCGATTGCGTGCTATGCTGGGATGGACTGGGCTGGTGAGAGGATACACCGGTTCGCCGTTTCAGCGCGCACTGCGTATCTGAGCCTTTAGCAAGGCACCATGATAGTGTTCAAACACAGACATTCAAACG